CAAAATCGTTGTCAATGGCGCAGATGTATTCAATCTCTGTAATCTTTCATATTCCTTTCTACCATAACCCATTCTGTTTCACTCCTATATTTGTCAAACTCTATTAATTCTCTCCACTCATCTTCTTGTCTACCTCTGTGTGCTATTTGGAACGTGGCAACTCGAACTGCTGCACTTCGGTGCCAAGTTCTATGTTGAATCCAGACAGACAGACAGTTTAGCAGCAGACACCAGACCAGGATGCAAGTTGCGTTTTGTACCCAAAATGAAATTGATTAATGCAGTCATGTATATAGCGACGGGAAATCAGAATAAATATTTTGAGGTATTTTGACATTCTTAGCATTAGAAGGACAGTTGATAAAGTGTGAAGCAGCTATTTTATTATGTATTTCATGAAGATGAGTGCAGCAATGTATGATTGTAACTTTCCTTTAGAGATTAATCTTGTCGTCATTATCCTGGCGGACATAAGTCCCCAGTGAATAAGAGCCTTGAGTACTTTTAGTATTATAGTGGTTTTTGTCTGGGTGACTGGTGAAAGTTATTGACTCTCCAAGTAAACAATTTTGATGAATTCATTTCCATTCCAGATTCCTAGCAGTTCTATGCATCATATCTTCCCATTTCTTTTGCAATCTAAGCAGTCTTGCCAACCAACTTCGAACATCGTGCTTATATTTTTGCTTTCATCGAAAGAGGATACATCAACTGACTGGCTTCCCAAAGGCTTATCCCAGCTCACATAGTTTCATCCCTTTAATCCCAACGAAGGATAAGTTTATTTCGAAGTTTCTGTATCGATTGTATTTATTTTCCGGAGTAGGGTCACTAAACCCACGCACCCACCCTCCCTTCTTTTTTCGGACTTAGGATTAACTAGTAAACTATGTATCTTAATACCTTTAGATGAAATACTAGACGTTTTTCGAGACAAAGGCATTCATATAAACGACATAATAATAATAGTAATAATCTATTTAAAATATGGATAAGCGAAAATCTAAATTTAAACAACTTACATGTATATACGGGTGAAGTTGTAGAATTATTAACTAAATCATTATTTTGACCATGATTCATACTCGTAGAACGTATATTAGCCATATGATGTTGTTGTTGCTGTTGGTGTGTTGTTGTATTCAATAGCATACCAGGTGGTGGTAATCGACAACTACTACTAATCGGTGATATTGGATCAAATGATGTTAAATTATAATAAGCTGATGAGGATGATGTTGATGATACCAAATTATTATTACTATTATTATTGTTGTTGTTGTTTATATTCATATTTGAACAATTCGGTGTATTAAAGCTTCCAATAGGCAAAGATATTGAATGATGTGAATGAACCGGTTGTTTTGCAACATCCAGATCAAATTGATTCTGATAAAATCCTCCTCCATTTGTTACAGAATTCATATTTCTAGTCGTGTCTGTTGCTCCAGCTGCTGATATCATACAAAATGGGATCTGAGAGGATGATAATGAAATATTATTGGGATGTAAGTTACTACTATCTAAAGACACCGAATTTTGTTCTGTATACATTGGAAATTCTTTTTGTGAGGAAGAGGACAGAACAGAATGTTGTTGTTGTTGATGATGATGATGATAAGGTAATAAGTGTTGAAAATGAGTCAATTGTTGTTGTTGTTGTTCAGGAGCCTTTTGATCCGATGAAATAAATACATTTCTTTGGTCGCCAACACCACCACTACCACCTATAACCATCTTTCCATTATTCAATGGAAGTGGTTTGGAAATATGAGATGCAGATTGTGTCACCTTCATCATAACGGGTGCATTAATAGTAGTAGTAGTACTACTATTACTACTGTTTGCCGGTGACAACCAAACATTACTTAGATTATTCAATGCTAACCTTGTATCAGCTTCTGAATTGCCAATGTCATATAAAGAACCTGATATACCTAAAAAAGGAAGAGAGAAATCGAGGTACAACAACAAGACATACAAAAACACACTAAATGAATTCACACTAAAGATGATTGAGAAAAAGTTTTTTTACTTTTTCGAAAAAAAAATACAATCTAATATCGACTAAATCAGGCAGATAGATACACAAACACACACACATACACATAACAAGACGTACACTTACGCTCTCTTTTAAGTACGCAGAAACTAAAAGATTTGAAGTGAGACAAGTTGGCGCATGATATTACATTAAATTAATTTTATCCATTACATGCAGATTTTATGTATATTAATGAAAAGTGTACAGTGTTAAAATGAAAGAAAGACAATACTACTACTTGCAGTTGTTTGTTGTTGATAAAACACACCTGTCTGTCAAGTAAGGAAAAGAAAATGCTCCCTATCTCCAGGAAAAGAAAAATCTGATTCATTCCAATTGAGTTGATGTGGAACTTTCTTCCCCTGAAAGCCACCCTTGCTACAAAACAGATACACACCCAAACTGATTTGTTGATATAAACATGAAAGATAAGCAAGCAATCCAAACTGATCACATTGACTCAGTTCCAAACAAAACCATCTTCATGAATCTGGAATTCAAAATTGGGGTTAGGCTTAAGACATGCTCAAAAATTATCTTTCTAAATCAGTCACAGTAAGATGTCTTTTGTGGCCTAACTCGTAATTAACTTTTGCCAACTGTAAGTTGTTCTCTGTTCGTGTAAAAGATAAGCTGCTTCCTGTCTCTGTCAGTCCACCTGTTCGTATGGAGCAAAGTATATAGCTCGTGGCCAGAGAATGCTTTCTACACGGATACAAGAAAATGTAGTTTTACAAGGGAGAAATGGTATAAGAAGCTCTATTCTAGAACACTTCATCGACTTCTGTCACTCAACCAACAACCCTGACTACGGTTTTAAGATCATCTATTCAATTCATGCGAACATTGCCGTGTATTTTCTCTTTATAAAACTTCTAAGGACAGCGAAGGTCTTGGGTATTCTCATGAATTCAAATCAGACCTTTATGTGTACAAGAAGTATGCATAGTTTCTATTCCTATCTCGGCTATAGAGACGTAAACATTTATTTATTCGCTGTGTTTGTTTTGTTTATTCAACTAATGTACTTTTTCTCTTATTATTACGATTGTTATTATACTTTGTTTTCACTGTGGACAGTTTCCGGTATTATTTCGCTTGACTCGGTAATTATTTTAAATCAATATATTATTTTTTCACAATATTACAAACTATCTTAGCAAACATCTGACCATATTAGGTAATGTTTTTATTTGCTTACTAACCCCTATTCACATTTTACATCCCTTTCAAAGATTTATGCAGTCTATGAACTATTTTCTGTGACATTATTTGTTTTGTTGCTTGATATTGAACTGTGAATATTAAAACAAACGTTTCATCACGTTTCACATTGTTATTCATAAGTATTCCTACTAGCTGTTTAAATTTCATCACTCGATAGTTTCCTAAAAATTATATATAGATAGATATATAATGTACGAATGTACAGCTTGAAAACAAACTCGTTGAAGAGTCTCTCCACTGAATATTGTGTTCTTAAAATAAAATGTCATTGAAACAGACAGCATACGCATGCCACATGAAATAAGTATAAAATTTCTTTCCACAAATATATTTCATGACAAAGTGGTAGTTATTAGTAAACAAGTGGGTGGACGTGAAACCTTGCACTTATGAAAATTTTAGCTTCCTAAGCACGCCTCATGAAACAACAAAAAAGAACAGATGTACACTGTTTTTCTAATGGAAAAATATGATTTAAAAGGGAGAGGAATTCACCAAAACTTTCACAACTTCGAAGATGACAAGAATGAATATACCTGCATTAATGACAGTCACGTGTATCACCAAGAGTCCACAAATGTTGATTCTTAACATTATGTTTGATAAGTGCATCTCCATTTTCACAACCTTAAAATTAACTTGGTTCACTTTGGTTGTTTTTCTTTACGAGCTAAACCTAACCTCCGTAAATTAATACGAACGCTAAAATCATAAATACAAGGAAATCGATTCAGGAGAATATAGTGCTCACCGCTGGAGGCCTTGTTTTCTGATAAACTGGAATGACTACTGATGTGCAGCAACCTGTTAGAATATCGCTGAATTTTCATGCATGAGCAATTAATTTAGTTAATTTCTGCCCACCATCCTCAAGAATTATGGGGAAAATGGTCGATGTTTTACTATTTTGTTTAGTCAAAGATTTTAAACCTTGACAAGTTCGGTCACTGTTGGGGGACCAGTACCTAAATCCTTTTCAGACTAGTTTGGGTGGTGGGCAACGGTAGTGTAGATGCTGGTCAGTAGAACTGTTTTTCTCCGAAGTTCCACATGTATAGCCTAAAAGGTGGTCAAAAATATGCCTTTTCAGGAAACATCTTATTAATCACGGGCTTTTGTAAGACCCGTTTATTGAACAAAACTAAATAGTAAACAGTTATTATCTATTACGAGTACCTCAGTCTCTTTCGCCTTCGTCAACCACCGGTGTCTACGGTCGTCAAGATGATTTTTAGACAGTTTATGTTTAAGCAACATTCGTCTTTTGTGTTTGAAGCCAGCTGAACCTAGTTTGCTTGCATCACTCAGTTCAAATAAAGTTGTAGGGCCTACACCTACTCCTCTTGATCTTTGTTTGAAGGTTATCAACTGTTTTGCTGCGACATATATGAAAAGAAAATCAGATATTTCTAAAACTTGTACAGTATGGCAGAAGCCACAAGTAAGATCATGTTATAATTAAAGTTGGCGCTGACTGGGGAATAGAATTGTGAGAGATGAACACCATTATAGGGTAGTCAGGATAGGATCTGGTATAGACCCTAGTATGGTTTTTCGATTGGTTCAGCGTCTGTCTTTGAGCGGTAAAACCATTCATTAGTGAGTAATTTAGGTATTTGCCTTACCCAGGGGAACTCACAGTTCCTGGCAAAACTCATCTCCTAGCCAACAAATGAGCAAGTGACAATAAAAAACTTATATCAGTAAGAATATTTTTTTCTTTATTTTTCAGGACCAGTTAGTCGGACAACACAAAGTGATTTTGAAATACTAAGAAAGGTGCAAAGTATAAAGAGAAATTGGCATATTAGTTATGGGGACAGGTAGTAGAGACGGAGGAATGGTTAATAATAAAGTTGACAGCTGGTAAATGGATGGCTTTTGTATAGTGGTGGTATGAAGAAAGGTGGTACACCCCATCTATTTAAGGGTGATAAAATTTGCTGAGTCCCGTCTGCATAAGGAACCTTATTACATACTATTAACTGCTGTGAAATACTTCAGTGTCTAACTATTTAGAGACAAGTCTTTTCTAACCCTTCCCCTGCAAAACCGAAAATCGGCATAGATGACTAGCTTACCATGCAAGAGAAATATCTCATTGCCTTTCATTTGCCATCACCTAAAAACAATACGCCTACGTCATCAGACCTCCACTGTACTGTAAGATATACCATAATGTTGTCGGTATCTATCCGAACATTATGGAGTTATAGGGTCACCAGAAACAGCTGTTCCAGATAGCATAAATTGTTACATTATCGCGATATTCAGGTCATGTTGAAGTAGCAGTCATCAGTCTGTTCGTCACCATATCAAGAAAGTAATATTAGGTATTCTTTGTCATATTCCTGCAAATATTTTAAATACTGCAGTCAGTTATATAATAGTATCATGACCACTTACCAAGTGTAGAAAAGCGATTTGTCACACCATTCAGGGCGGTAGTATTGAACAGATAAGATTGTGTTGTTTGATCTGAATCCACTCGAGATACATTCAGTAGTGCTTGATTTCGAGGAAAAGGTGAGTTTTTGGAAGATATAGCAGGGTGGTTACATGAAATAGATTGTGACTGAATAGCTGAACCTATATTGTAATTCGTAGACAAATTTGTGGCATTGTTAAAGGTTGTTGGACTTTGTTGATTAAATACAGCCGAAGTAAGTAATTGGTGTTCGTTAACCCCGACACTACCATCTGTACTACTATGATCATATATTTGACGTGCATCTGAGTATGCTTCACTGCTTGAAATTTTCCAAAGTGCATCCAATTGGTCACTAGACGATGGATCTTGTCCAGGTGAACGAGATTTTTGAAATGAAGTTTCGGAAACTGTAGCAGAAGCTTCATTTGCTTGGCGTTGTTGTTCACGAAGGCGTCGCTTTTTACGATAGTACACCTAAAAATGAAGGACAAGTTGTGAGTGTGATTTCCATTAGACAAATGTATTCCAAGATAGGAGCGGAGTTTTATCAAGAAACGGTGTTCTCCATGAACGTAAATAGGTTAATAATTCAAGTAGCAGTATTTTTCAGTGTCTTTATTAATCAGAGCAAACATAATACAAACTAATTTCTATGCTTTACATTGCATACTATGTGGCCGACTTCAACAGGTTAACAAGTTTTAGATCAGGCTAAACTTATTTTAAGTTGAGAACTTCAATTCTTCATTCGCGAAAATACAATGGGGGGAGCTGATTACAAACTTAGATAATATCATAAATATTGCATTTTTTCAGTGCAGAATCTAATGCTAAGGATATCGGTATACCTATACACATACAGATGTTGCTTATCAAAAGAGACAGTGAACGATTATTTGTGACACTTACGCACCCCCCTCCATAAACACCTTATGCAATGTAATTTAAAGCCAGCTGAGTGATATCCGTTCTTCATATAGTACTACACACTTAACACCACCTTAGTTCTGTTAAACAAAATACTACAAGCACAATTATGATCAAGCATCTATAACCTTTCACCTTTAGTCTGTCCCAGTATGCAGTGCGAGATAGCAAACATGAACATAACACACTCGCTCTCTGATAGGTAGTTTAATATCTCACCAACACTGTTATCAAATGTCAAACAACTATGTCGTATTAGCACACTAATCTGAAATGAATTCAACCGATAGATGTCTATTCGTTTATATATGCCTAGAATTACATACAGCTCTGAGTTATCACACAACTTAGTATCATATGAACCTTGCCGTACTATAACCTTTTGGTTGATCTATTTCCAGGATTCCTAGTGATTGTGCAATAACTAACTGTATAGTTGAAAATATAGTACTACCATAGCAAAACATGATTCTGATAGTAAAATCACCACATAACCAAACTATGCAACAAAGAAAACCTTGAAATTACCTCATTTATGTGCTTGTAAGTTTGAATTAAGTTCACAGACATTTTCCGTAGAGGTATAGACCAAGGATCACGACGTCGAAGTGAAGAAATAGCACTACGTGCATTGGACTGGATTTGTAGAAGTGATGAGTTTGAATAGACGTCAGCAATTAAACCCGAATGTGTTGGTGGCTGACGCAAATGAACAACATCTTGTCCCTTTAAGCTAATCATATCTCTATAATTGTTCATTTTGTTAGAGTAATTCTGTGCGGAGTATGCAGATGCAGCCAAAATGGCTGCAGCAGCAGAAGCCCCCATCAGCCTTTGGCGAGCACTGATAGACGGATCATCTAGTGTATAAGACGGTGCCGATGTTCTAGCAATGGAGGAAATTCTTACATCTGAATCACAAGCAACAGAGACAAATTGTCGTCCATCTGAAATAGGTTGATTTGGTGGGCTACATGTTTTCGTCATCGTTGACGCTTGTAAAGGTGGGCTATTAACAGGATTAGTGCTAGCACTATTTCTTGTACTAGATGAAGCAGTGAGCGGTAATGAAATCTGGTCATCTGCAGCTATTCTAGACAAAGCTGAAGATAGGGAAAGGGATGAGGAAGTTATAACACCCGCATCCAACGGAAGTGTAGTGGGGGACAATGTCGTCGATAAACCAATGAAAGGTGATGGCTCTTCTATAACACGATGATACAACGTGGGATTTATATCACAAGTTTCGTCTTCGGTTAACCACCGGTGACTAGAGAGATTCATGTCATCAGTAGCACTCTCTAAGTCATTCATTTGAAGCTGAGAATAACCCTTAGCTTGAGGTGTTATGTATTCCGAATTGAGAAATCTTGAGGGTTGATCAGATCTTTCTGAAAGCTCAGATGATTGATTACGTAGGTTTGGAGTGAATAATATTTGTCCTCGTGAAAGTGGAGGGGGAGGGGATGGACGATAACGTGTAAAATGAGGGACAGACTCTTCTTTAATAATCCTGTCATCAACTGATGTAAATCCAAATGTGCCGATATCATAATCTCCTGATCCACAATCACCTGGACTACCTTCAAATTCTTTGTGTTCTTGATTAAACTCTTTCACTAATAAAGCATCATCTTCATCATCGTAGTAATTATCTAAACACTGTAAAGTTAAATTGCTCATCCGACTCCCAGAACCAACCAATTCTTTATTACCATCGGATTGTTCTTCATTCAAAGCTGGTTGGCTTTGACTGTTTGACTGTGGAATGGAGAGATGACTTGAATTCAAAAGTCCGTGCACTTCGTTCATGGAATCATCAGTACTTATATTTAAATTACTGGGAGAGAATTCCAAAAAGCAGTTATCCCCAGGTTTACTAAGATTGTCTGTATTGTGCACTATCCCATCATATGATGATGAATTGTTACGAACATGTTGAGCTTCACAAGATTTCGATGGCTGGGTTGGTCCAAGTGTTGTTTTCGTCTGACATAAATGCATCTAATTCCTCCGTCAACCTGTTTATTAACTCCAGCGGCACTATATCATAGTGTGTTTAAGTATACAACAGGTTCTGAATACTCATAGATACATCTCAGTGAAATGTAAGTACCATACTTTGAATGGTATGACGTCAATAAAGTTTAGAAAGCAATGTGTAGCATATTCGTTTGACATGTCATTGATTAGATCAACTACAAAAAAGCAAAGTAGAGAAATGAAATATTTTTGGCAATATCAAAAATATTGAAAATTAGTTTTCGTATTAATCGAAGAAGAGAATCATGTGAAACAATGCTTTCATGATTTACTCAATGTAAAACTGATGCCTAAATCTCTTGCAAAGAATGAGAAAGGTTGAATTCACACTTTATTTCAGGGGAATATCTATAATGAATAAAAGGGTATACAAATATGTTTTGTATTATTGTTATTATTTATTCACGGACTAAAGTAGCTTTTTTAAGCATTTGTCACTTGTGATGAGCCAATTTATGGACAAGAATTTGAAAATATTATAAAGTTATAAGTGGAATAAAGAAAGGATTATAGCTGTCTTATGAATTATTCAGTCTGTGACTCATGGGCATAAGCAGACAGTCAAGAATAAGTGGTGGATAGAGAAGTGTAGAGTTAAAATCAGTGGAGCATAAAAGGTAATTTCCAATCATCACTCCATTTACATGATTTTGAGTTAGACAGGACACATTACATTTGTAACGTCCTGTATACGGAGATGCAAACCCACAAAGAAGTTCTCCTCGCGTATACTAACAATATTGAGTACAGAATTAACATCAGCTATTTATCGTATTCTATCTTTACTATCTGGTTTTTCACGCACAGCAAAAGTACCATCTACATAATTTAGTATTCGTTAGCAGTAGAGGGGCTGACCATAGGGCTATCTGTCCAAATTATAAACTACTATTACTTCATTAGGGCGACGTTGGAAGCATCATGTAGCATCACCAAGGAAACCCGTTTGCAAGGATACTGGAACTCTTTGAAAGTGAGGCTGAAGGAAGAAGAGGAACGATGAAGAATGGTTTTCCACGGAACGTAGAAGCTAACAGAAGGGAGGGGTGGTAAAACAGATGAACAACGAAAGGAGCTGCGTTCAATCTACAACACACTGAACAAAGTGAAGAGTGTCAGGAAAAACAAGACATCTACCACACACTGGTGACTGAAGCAGGAGGGGGCACAGTTGAGAGGCCTCATACATAACTAGGCGGTTGTCGGGGAAGATAGCACAGATAAAACCCATGAAGGATGGTCAAGGGGACCTAACTACCAAAGAGCAGAGACACGGAAAACAATGGGCTGATCACTTCAAAGGACTACAGAAGTGACCACTACCTGCAACACGTCTAGAAGTACTCCCGACAGCCATAATACTGTTAGTGAACACCAATTCTGCAACAAAACCAGAAGTCGAATGCCAAAAAGCTGCTGAAAGCCAGGAAGGCAGCCAGACCAGATGGAATTCCTCTGGAAGCACTGAAAACGGATCCAGAGACCTCAGCGGGTATCCTCACACCACCACTGCAAAGTTTAGGCGGAAGGAAAGGTACCTACTGAGAAGAAAAGACTACCTTGTCAAACTACTACAGGGCGACCTAAACCTTTGCGAAAACTGTAGTGGAACTAACCTCCTATCCAGGCTAATCAAACCATTAAATCGCGTCATCCTAGGGCAACTTAAAGATGCTCTAGATACAAAACTCCACCCGGAACAAGCTGGATTCAGGAAGGACGAACATTGTACAGATCAAACCGCAATGCTCCACGTCATTATCGGACAGAGCACAGAATGGCAGTCAACTCTCTACCTCAACTTCACAAACGTCTAAAACGCCTTCAATAACGTTGACTACAAAGTAAAATGAAAACCGTTTTAACACTACAGAATGCCTCAAATCTTTATCAGCCTCATTCAACAGTTATATGTTGCTATATGCTAAATAATTCACAACGAAAAGATCAGTAAAATCTTCGAAGCGAAGACAGGAGTAAGACAAGACTAAAATTCTCGATGATATTCCTCACTGTGTTGTAATGGATCATGCGACATATTTCTCACCTCTACCTACGTAAGTAGTGTTGGTAATGTGAACTCACAAAATTATTTTCTTCACTTGATATGTTCTCCATTTTTCAAATATTACATAATGTCCGAACTAATAATCATAAGATAGTTCACAGTCTGTCAACGTCGAAGGGATGAGACTAAAGACACTAAGTTAAAAGTTAAATAATTACAAGGTAATAGCGTGCAGAACGATTCTCAAATCGACAGACATGTAGAGCAATTAATTTGAAATTTTCAGGACTTGGAAGATAACAAGAATGAATACATCTGCATCCACTCCTTGTGACTTATGATTTCCAATGAAACTGTTTTGTTCTTCGTTATTACTATTCCTTTGTCTCACACCTCTGTTTACTGTCTCTATTTTGCATTTCTTTTACTTTCTTCTCTTGCTTTGTGTTCTACATGGAGTGTGGCGACTTGAACTGCTGCACATCGGTACAAAGTTCTATGTCGAAAACAGACATAGCTGCATCAATGAAAGTATTTTGACTAGGAGTCTACAAGTACTGACTTTTAACATAACAAAGACTATCCAAAAAACGTAAACCTTATTATATGGGAACTCACTATCTCCTAGATCCAGTTACATTCCTTACATGGTGATATGTTTAAAATCAATATCACTCACCATTCGTCAGCACGGGAATGAGGATATTCATGGATAGACTTCAATCTTTACACTCCTAATTTCAACTACCATCTTTCGCAGCCCTCAACTGTGACAGAATGAATTGTTGCGTGGACGTTTTCGCCATCTCACAGAATTATATTGTCTAAGCGAACTAGCTTATTCCTTGGGTATGAAGTCAACTTCTAAGATAGCAGAGCTAAACGCAGTTATCCCCAGTAATACATCGGACGTAGATTAGGTAAGAATGACGATAGTGAGAAATGTTGAAAGACAGCTAGTTGTAATTACAATCCTTAGTAAAACCGATAAGGTATTATTCATTAGTGAAATGGTTGAAGCGCATTTTATTTGCAGGGTAACGAAGTGATGGACGAAGATAGAGCTAGCATTTCGTACAAAAGGACGTTATTTTGGATTGTCACGTGACATAGCACTGTAAGCGGCAGTAACACTGAAAAGACTACCATCAAGATAACAAAGGATGACTAGAGAGGAGAACTGCATAAGCACTGAAGATTAGACGGTTTAATCGGGTGATAAAGTACTTTTGCATGAGAGTCTACATCAGATAGCTATAAATGTCGACCTGGAAATATTGTGTACCAACCTACACTTCTACAAGGTAAATTGGTAAAGAGATAGAATACCTGAGGAAAGTAGACGGTAGTTATTAAGATGAGAAATAAGTAAAATCAAAGGCATACACTGAAGAAAAACGTGAAGCGTGGACGTTAACTCGAGTCATTGTGCAATCTTTAGTCGTGAGTTTTGAGCAGTACTGGAGAAAATAACAGAAAGGCTGGACAATTTCTATATCGGTTAAGTGGCTTACACTAGTGAACCTTCCTTCATTATTACAGTATACACCAAACCGTTACATTTTACAGTACAAAAGAAACAAGCAAAACAAAAAATGCATTGAGATTGTCGATAACTTGTAGGAAAGAAAAGAAAGTAACTATGGTTAGCACACATGTTTAGAATTTACACAATATATGGTGGTTAAACATGAGACACTAAGGGATTCCCGACTACAAGCACTGGGGCATTTAACCACTGATTGATCATACCATGAGAGCCCCAAATTTCAATTGACAAACCAAGGAAGGGTACTACTCTACCACGAGGTTGGTTAAAGTGATGCAAATCACTGGTTGAAAATGTCAAAAACGATGAAAACCTATTCAGTGACCCCACAAGTGTCATCTTAATTTCTTTATATTATTTTTCTAAAATTTGTTTTATGCCATTCTTGATGCTGATCTGCTGGTATACTAATTTCCACTGCGATTCATACTACTTTGGCGATAACAAAGTCTAGAAGCATTCGATTTTAACTGTCGCTATACAAAAAATGATACTGGGAGTTTATAAGCAATTGTCTATCGTTAATTTTCACCACTACTTAGACCCTGTAGTGGTGATTCACTGTTAGAATTATTACCAGCCACGCACGCAGTTCGGTTTCAGTTGTCGGCTAACGCACACCTGAATCTCGCGTATCCAGCAGTAAGCCCGGTAGAGATTGGGTGTGAAACTAGTAACCCAGTAGAAAATACACCATTGCTACTGACTGAAGCTTATGTTTTACTCGGAATTCAAAGGAGTAAAGCAGACCATGAGTATTAATAGCGAACAAGTGAATGCGACTCACTTTAATTACTCAAGTATATAATCGGTCTTGCTACTGTGGTCAACAACTAAAACTAGTCATAAGACCGTATCACTGAGGATCTTCAGACTGACCTTACCAGACAAAAACCTCGGCGAGAAGTGACAAGTTTTCTGGTTTATTACAATTATTACTGAAGACTAGATTCTTACGACGACTGATAGTCTACTCGCCTGAGTAGATAGGACGTAGAAGCTCGTAGGCGAGCATGGAGACTGCGAACTAGTAAAAGACTAAAAAATTGATTTTTACAACTAACACTTATGATTATGTTCTTAAAATAGAAACCATGTATAGAATATTTAGCAGTACAAAAAGAATTAGTTAGGCATCCAAGCTGATTAAAGTTTGCTGACATGGTAAATGTTTTTACTTTGTAACAAAATAAGTTTTCAGTCGAAAACCCACTAGTTACAACTGTCATCGGAATAATATTCTGCGCGAGAAAACGCCTTCAAGTTAGACGTGAGCTTAGATATAAGGTTGCGCAACAACTTGAGCTGCCAGATGTTTCACAGCACATTCATTAGAGCAGTAGTTTTATTAAAAGTAATAGAAAGTTATATGGTATTGGGAAGGCAATATTAATTAGTAGCTGAGTAATACGATACTAGGAATCCAAAACACAAAAAAGTAACCTACTAGACTGTAAAGTGAAATGTGCGCGTAAACCACAGAGCGGCCATTGGAACAAAAAGGACAGTTGCAGGAGTTAAGGTCACACAGCTGCAGAAAACTTACTTCTAACAGTGCTTCTCAGCTGAACCAGCCCTGTTATTAACACCAAGAAAAAGTTAAGTTAGTTTCTTTTCAACACTTCTCCATTACGTACTTATTTTAAATGTCCAGAGCCAATGTAAATCCGAATCATTAGGGTGTTTTTCCTAGGAGGGAAACCTTTTCAGGAGTTGAGCGAAGGCACATACCATGCCTCCTTCGAGAGTTAATTTTAGAGTATAAATAATATGCGGCAATAATTAATCCCCTGAAAATTATTGACTTACACCTTCAATCTTTCAGCATTGGGTACTGACCTTTGCTGTTTAAGTTAACTGGTGCAGTCAAGTATTTGGCATGCTGTTATGCTACCTTGTTCATGCAGGACCTCTGCCTAAACAAGCACAAGTCAAAGCTCCACGTTTTAGGTCTCATTCTCGGGGGACTCCGTAATGTCTAGTTAAGCGGTTGTTCGTCGATAAAAATGCTTTCATGAAGTCGTACGGCACCACACTTAATGACTTTGAAGGTAGCTACTGTTGGCGCAATCCTAACTACACAGCTTTATTGAAACCCCTGTGAGGATACCGAGTGGAAAACCTCGATGCACCCACTAAGGAAGTTTTCGCAGAGACTGTGAAAGCCGTCGCAAATGTCAGCTTGCCAACTTACCTGTGGTGCATAAAAGCCTATCATTTGAGGAGTACGACACTACAATAGGGGGAGTCAAACAACGTCTAGTAGTTGGCCGATGACAGAAACCTGTTTCTGCCTCGAGGGGACTGGGCACTACGGAAACGAAGGACTGCACCATTATCAGAGAACTTCTGGCTATGTATAGTGAAGTACGTCAATTTCGACATTCAGTGGGAAGTCACGTACTCACTGTTTCACATGACGTCAAATGCTCTGAATGCAATACTGTGTAAATATTCACTAAAGGAGTGATGCTAGTCGAACCAGATCTCATAGTTTTTCTCAACTATCCGCCTAATAGCTGGCTCAGACACCTTGTCGCGCACCTTTTTTAGGAAGTGGCTTGTCTTCAGAAAGAAGAGAATGAGATTAAACACCAAATTTAATACCATTAGGCGAAGGTAAGAAGACTATGCTTTCCATGTGTACTAGGCCATGGGCACCCCAAAATTCCTTTTAATGTTCGAAGTGATATATACTGGTGTGTGAAATTCGAAACGTAAGTTCTGCTGGCTTTTCCCACGAAACCATGAATGCTCCACCGAGGCTTTCAAGAAAACATGAAGAATATAACCACAACGGGCAAAGAAGTTATAGTGTCTCTGCCATCTACCGCTGAAGGCCTAGTCTGCCAGAGCGAAAATGTTCCTCAGCTACATTACTAAGGCTGAATAGGTACCGCATTAATTGTTTTGCCTTTTTTAACGAATTCCAATCAAATCAGGCCGCAGTCTGTGCGGTTGGTATAATGGGTTTATGTTAACAGTCTTTAGTGGAAATCTGTGCCAGACTTCTTGAAAGGTTATTTTTACGATCAGTGAAGTTAGTAAGTTTGTGATGGGAATATGAACTAGGAGGGTGATATCGAGGGTATACTGGTGGTCTCTAGAGAGCGCCTTTTGTGTCGAATTGAAATCGTGTCATCCTCCGTAGTCTTCGATACATCTTATTATTTGAGACTTTGCATCACTTTCCTCAGATGTCTCTGAAAATGTGCATTACTTTTTTCAGTCCTTTTAACTTCTCGCTCAGATAAAATATGTACAGGGGTAAATGCAAGTGCAGAGCCAGCTCCAGTTTAGCAGCACAAACGCAGTTAGTACTCCTTGTTTCCTTATTTTCTACTGATTCTCTTATCATTTTCAATTTATTTTATTTTTTTATTTTTGATTACAGCTTGATTCCACACTGTATTTTTGGTACAAGTATGGAATTTTCAGCGTGGGTATCGGTAGCCCAAAATTCGCAGGCCGACCATAGATATCAGGTGTGCGTCGGCGAGGGCTTGAACCCCGGAACATGTGCATGGCCGGCGAGAGTCCTAACCACTGTGCCACCGACGCACAAGGGGATCAAAGGTAAACATCGACTCAACTGTACCTCAGCCATTTCGCATTCAGTGACCAGTTTGTTTATCTCTACTGATCGAATCACAGTGCAGGCACTTGACTTTTCAGGGAAATGAAAGTGTATGCTGCGTTGCGGAGTGTCTCTACATTCCTGTCTCCTCTCTACACTCACTGTTAATAAATATATATTTGAAAAGCCGTGAGGCTTATATTCTCACTTGTCTAGTTGGGGTTATGTGTCTGTCTGTCTGTCTGGATTCAACATAGAACTTGGCACCCAAGTGCAGCAGTTCGAGTTGCCACGTTCTAAATAGTACACAAAGGTAGACAAGAAGATGAGTGAAGAGAATCAATAGAGTTTGACAAGTATAAGAGTGAAACAGAATGGGTAATGGTAGAAATGAATATGAAAGATTACAGAGACTGAATACATCTGCGCTGGCCATTGACAACGATTTTGAGCCATGTCACCTATTGTCTCCAGCCATTGATTCCTAGAGTCACTCCCGAGGGCCCCGACCCGGGAGTCTACATCTCCCTACCTGACTCAGTTTAACTGCCAAGGATTTCATGGATTGATGAGGCCATGTTTTTGTTTGGCCACCACTGGCTCTTTTCCAACCTGCACCTATATCAGCTAGTAATGCCCGTCGTCGGGGGAGGCGATGGTTAGGCATGCGCAGCACGTGACCTAGCCATCTCAATCTATGTAACTTTATAGCCTCGTGGATTGATTTTCCCTCTTTGACCAACTTTCTACGCCTAACTTCAGCATTACTTACCTTATTAAACCACCTAACGCGAGAAAGAGATCGCAGACATCTATGATCGAAAGCAGTCAACCTTTTCATGTCTTCAACAACTCGTATTGGCCATGTTTCAGAGCCATAGAGAAGGACGGAGCGAACTGCTGATCAGTACACACGTCCGTTGGTTGATAACCGGATGTCACGCCTACGCCAGAGATGGTGTAAGTCAGCGAAAGCAGCTCGAGCTTTTCGGATCCGTGCTGAGATTTCATCGCCAATCAGTCCGTTGGTGCTAATACAACTTATGTGTAGAGTAGCTTGGATACCATATGAGGTGTGTTAGGCTAAAAAGTCAGCAGTTAGTGTGACCAAAGTCCGGGTGTAGCAGGATAGATAGCCACACAGTAATCACGAGCATTACTTCAAGTTGAAGCCGATCAGGAACGAGCTCGAAGTCGTCCAGGCTTACTGGCCGAGTGGTTTTCTAGATGGCCTGAGCTAAGATTCAGGAAATGGCCAGTAGCTATTGCCTCACATGTGGAATAAACGTCCGTGCATTGAGATTGTCAGTGAATAATATAGGCTACCTGACGTTTCCAAATTTGTAGGGTGGGCCACGCGATAAGACCTCTGGATATAGCGTGACAAACCATAACCTTGACGCCATGTTTAAACCATCTTCTGCTGAGGTCGTTATACCCAAGGCCAAATCCGCATTCGCTACTAAAAACTTATTGGACGTAACCGACCACTGTTCCTTTTGTGGTTTGACACCTTTTAACTAAGACGAATCTGCAAGAAGCTCCATATCAAGTGTTAGCCAGTTTTTTGGCTGGAACTGGCTTCCGTTTAACTCGGTGGATTTTGGCCACCTAGATGCATCGAAGTATTTAACTTCAGAAGCTAGAGAGTCGATTGTATGTGAATTAATGAGTAATTTACCGCCGATTGGCTTACTAAAGGAAGTCAACAGTGATGCACTTGGGTTTAATGTTTGTGATATCACCAGGCGGGTAACACATAGAGGCATTCTGTCTCTACCTTCATCCCTGTTTGGCATACTAGTTTAAGCCACGTCCTACCTTCTATCAGCAAGAAAGCTACTTCAAGAGACATTCAGAAAAAGGTTGTAGTGAGGTGACCTGCTTGGTGAAACACACTCCTTATAATGAAAAAGGATCATTAATTTGAATGCGCTGCGCCAAGAGTCATTTGCATGCCCGTTAAAGTTAAAGGGGGATTATGACGTAGTAGACCTTCGGGTTTCCCCCGATGCATGCAAACTTGTGCATGTATCAGCCTTTTCTAATAGAACAGCACTAAAATGTGGGACAGATATACGGCTAAATCTAGAATAGTGTTCCGGAAGACTATTTCTGTTCCAGAACTACAATTCTGAAGCTGTTTGTTGACCATTCAGATGATCACTGCCGTGTAGAGGGAACCAAACTACCTTATGCTTCATACAGACTGCAGGAGTGACTCTATTACAGCGGTCGGTTGCGTGCGTAGTGAATCCACAGGATAGGTATGCTTCGTTGCAAAAAGAGTGTCTCAGATACGTGAATCCATGCGTTACAGCCACCGCATGAACAATCTCTGAAGAGACATACTCTCAGTCTTCAACCGAAATCCCAAACAAAACCAGATTGTCTTATGTGAAGCTATGTGGGTGATAAACTGCGAAGTTGTTGTTCTCTCAGACAAAGTACATCTTATAAATTTGGAATAGACTTCAAATATTAGACTAGCTGGCGTCCAAATACCAAGAACGCAATTGGAGAACAACAAAATGACTCACAGTTAGCAAAATAGGTATTCAAACAAGAAATATACAGCAGTTCATCGAACCACAAAACGGTCTAACAATCACTAAATTCAAAACAGTATATAAAGTGCAACTTTATTGTTTAAAGGAGCAATATTAGGCGCAGCAATCACTGTCAAAAGAACTATAGTTTCTTTTCCAAACAATTATTAAAGTAATATTTACAATATTATATTCACTCGTCAAGGGAAATGATTACACAACACGCTCACACACTAAACTCCAAATAGCGGAGAGAAGTTCACTGATAAACCACGTTCACTCCCTTTACTTATACAGACAACATTTACACAACTCACACGCACAAGCTAGCGAAAGTAACAATAATATGTTCTCACTTTATGTACA